ATTCATTGGTTTGTAATTCAATAAAGATTTGAATTCAGGGGAGTGTGTTTATTTCATTATTATGTGCTTTATTTTATATCACACATCCTGAGATTGCGATTACTATCTGTTATGATTACATATTACATACTATTTGACTATATATATTAATGTATTTATCCTCGACTACCTATTACCTATCCTGTTACAAAAATGTTATTGTCTCATTTGGTAAATTCCCCTCTTTTTGTGAAGCACTGCTATGTTTATATTAGGGTTAATCCAGCCTCTAGTGGCTGTCTCATTGACAGCCGCTAGAGGGCTTCCGTGTTTTTCACTGTGAAAATCACAGTGAGAAAACGCCAGCAACTGGCTGAATGTGCGCGCAGCTCCTGCCGAGCATGCGTATTCAGACGAAGAGGAGGAGAGTAGGAGGAGAGCTCCCCGCCCGGCGCTGGAGAAAGAGGTAAGTTTAACCCCTTCCTCCCCCTAGAGCCCGGCAGGAGGGGGTCCCTGAGGGTGGGGGCACCCTCAGGGCATTATAGTGCCAGGAAAATGAGTATGTTTTCCTGGCACTATAGTGGTCCTTTAATAAAATTAAGATTATAGGTACACTGCGTTAGCATAATCTACAATTTGCTTGACTACACCCTGTTCCAAATTATTATGCAAATTCTATTTAAGTGTCACAAAGATTAAATATTTTGTTTTTCAGTTTAACTCATGGATGGCATTGTGTCTCAGGGCTCCTTTGATGACTGAAAACAATCGCGGACACCTGTGATTAGATTAGATTGCCAGGTGAGCCCAATTTAAGTAAAAACTACTAAAGGAGGGTGTTCCACATTATTAAGCAGAGAACCATTTTTATGCAATAAGGGGAAGAAAAAGGATCTCTCTGCTGCAGAAAAGAGTGAAAAAGTTCAATGCCTTGGATGAGGTATGAAAACATTAGATATTTCATGAAAACTTAAGCGTGATCATCACACTACTAACCACTTAAGGACACATGACAAGTGTGACATGTCATGATTCCCTTTTATTTCAGAAGTTAAGTCCTTAAGGGGTTAAAAGATTTGTGACTGATTCAGAGCACAGATGGGTTTTTGCAGATAAAGGCACATTGAAGAAGATTTCTGCCAGATCTATGCATCAGATCAAGAGAGCAGCTGCTAAAATACCATTACATAGCAGGAAACAGATATTTGAAGCTGCTGGTGCCTCTGGAGTCCCACGGACATCAAGGTATAGAGTCCTCCAGAGTCTTGCAACTGTGCATAAACGTTCTATTCGGCCACCACTAACCAATGGTCACAAGCAGAAACGGCTGCATTGGGCAGAAAAATACATGAAGACTAATTTTCAAATAGTCCTGTTCACTGATGAGTGCCGTGCAACCCTGGATGGTCCAGATGGATGGAGTAGTGGATGGTTGGTGGACGGCCACCCTGTTCCAACAAGGCTGTGACATCAGCAAGGCGGTGGTGGAATCATGTTTTGGGCCGGATTCATGGGAAGAGAGCTGGTCGGCCCCTTTAGGGTTCCCGAAGGTGTAAAGATGACCTCTGCAAAGTATGTGGAGTTTCTGACTGACCATTTTCTTCCCTGGTACAGAAGGAAGAACTATGCACCCTCTCATGCTGCAAAGAATACATCTGCATCAATGGCTGCTATGGGGATAAAAGGAGAGAAAGTCATGGTGTGGCCTCCATCCTCCCCTGACCTCAATCCTATTGAGAACCTTTGGAACATCCTCAAGCAAAAGTTCTATGAGGGTGGGAGGCAGTTTACATCCAAACAGCAGCTCTGGGAGGCTATTCTGACATCTTGCAAACAAATTCAAGCAGAAACTGTCCAAAAACTCACAAGTTCAATGGATGCAAGACTTGTGAAGCTGCTCTCAAACAAGGGGTCCTATGTTAAAATGTAACGTGACCTGTTAAAATGTTTAAAAAGTTAAAATGTTGTTATAAGTTTAATTGAAATAGCTTTTGACTTCAGTAAATATGCTGCAAACACAACAAATGACAATTTTCAGTTCTTTACAACATATAAAGTGTTTTGAAACTTACTGTGCGTAATAATTGTAGATTATACTAGCTTTAGTGTAACTAAAATCTTAATTTTATTAATGACAGGAGGTGAATATTTGCTTAAGTCTCTCTTTACTAGAACTCCACAGCAGCACATTAACATAGAGAGAAAAATACCAGAGACAAAAAAAAAAAATCAGGAATCTATAAAAGGCTTCTAAAGTACATAAACAATACACCACAAATACAATAACAGGAGAAACAAACATAACAAAACGATGAATGCCATCCGAAATTGAAACCGTGGAACCAGTGGGTGAAGCCTTGACCTTTATCCTGTAGAGTAGTCGGATCTAAGAACTGTAGCCAAACCATTAAACTGAAACGAGATAAACAGAGTCGAAAACACTGATTAGCGAATGAAATGTACTGAGAAAACATGAATCCCCATTGTAAATACTGACAGTATAATATCCCAGATAGTGAAAAAACCTGAATCCCCATCATAAAATACTGACGGTACCATATCCCAGATAAACCCCAACTCCCCCAGATAACCAACCTAGCCCAGGTGAATAAACAACAAGTCAGTCAAACCAACAAACAACAAGGGGAGGGAGAAACTGGGAGGGAAATATTCGCTTCCTGTCATTAATAAAATTAAGATTATAGTTATACTAAAGCTAGTATAATCTACAATTTTATAGCATGACAGGAGGCTTCATATTTGCTGTTTTAACGCTCGTACAGCAAAGACCGAAGAAACCTGATCCGCCGTACCAACCTAAATCCTGCGAAGATAACTCCTCGTAACCGGCAGGAAAGTGTACGATGTCTTGGAGAAAAACGCCCGCCATGTCGGTACCTGAAGTCACAGTGTTACGGACTGAAGTGAACCCAAAAAACCTATACACCCCGCCAATGCCAACCACAACCAAGTGGTACATGAAGGGCGAGAAAAAAGGAAGAACCATTTAAACAAATGGTGACGTCGAACACCGCCTAAAGGTGGGAGCGCTACCAAAGTAAGAATATGACCCTTGGGTCTGACTAAGGCTGATAGACAACTAAGGTCCGAACCGCCGAACCCATCTGAAAGAAAAACAAGGTATAATAACGGAAATAAATCCAGAATCAGTGAATGGGCAAAACCCGACAGAACCCACCATAGGAGCATGACAAAAATGCGTGTACCCCCTGGGGAGATGAATACCCATCCTCAGGAATCGTAAAGGGAATTCTAAGCAGAGCGAGGCCCGCCGACAACAGTCGTATGCGCTACCTAATCTAATTAATATGGCAGTCCCCGGTAATAAAGTGACGAACAATACCCGAACTCTGTAAAAGCGGTAGCAAAATTAGGAGATCCGTACCAGACCCAACTACGTCAGGGTCGCCATGCAGACCAAAGTCTCACAATCCCCGAAATCAAATGAGCAAGGGTCCAGGGAATCCAGGAACTAGGTTCGACTCTGCCAAAGCGGAGATCATAATTCCAAAATACCAGCAGACCGAGGCACCTGTAGAAAGGTCCTGAGACCAAACGGAGGAGACTCGTTCACGTCTCTGTGTCGAACACTCCTGGAGGGAAGCGTCCATTGCTGATCAAACGGGTCCGTCATCCAGCCGAACTGGGTCCTCCTCCGTGGACTAAAGTCTTGGGTCCTCCTCCGTGGACTAAAGTCTTGACGCCGGGTCCTCTCAGAGAAAACTATTCCATACGTACGAGAACTCGGGGAGAGGGGAGCGTAGGAGGCACCCCCTTGCGTCCAATCCGGCCTCCAGGACTCCACTCCTTGAGATGTAGAGGAGGTCGATATTTCCCTGGTTGAAAACGAAATCCAGGGACTCGAACAAGGGAAAACTCAAAGTAACTAATGAATATACGTTCAATCGTAGACTCGTGCCGGGACTCCGAGGGGCTCAGATCCCTTTATCCCAAGCACCTCCAGCGGTCCAAATTGCGTTTAGAATAGGGTCGTCTGCCACCCTAGACTCGGGGCCCCATCTGGAATGTCATCCGAAAGTGGAGGCAAGTGTTAAATTCCGGGTCAAGGGTCCAATCCCCTATAAAAGGTATGGGTTGGAGCTGAGATAAGCCTCCGTCAAGTATTTCCATGTAAAAAAGGACACATCTTATACTTCCTCGTATGTTCCCCAGAAATGCACCGATGGTGCTAGGTGATCGGGCAGAGACCATTCCAAAGAAACCAGGTGAGCAATGGATCGAGGGTCAAACAGGGGTTCGTTTAAGGTGATCCACGAGACAACCTCTTCTTCCAAGGTCGTCGGGGCCCCTGCAGTGGACTTTATTCTACATCTCATGGTGCCACCAGGGACCATCATAATCCACACCCCCATCGTCCTCTCCCTCCGAGGGGAACCGGTCCGCCTGCCATTTAGCTAGGCCGGCCATGGTGGGGGAGTTACGGGGACCTTCACCCCTGCGCCACATAGGCAGTGTCGTCTGGCCATCAAGGCCAATCGTATCAGGGCTAGACACGTCTCCGGAGTCTAATCTTTCCGGGCGTTTGGTTCCGGGTCTTCACCCTACCCATAGTGCTTATGCGCCCTTGCCTGCTCTCCACTTGGAGAGCCTGACTCCTTCAAGTCGTCTGCCTTTTTAAGAAGGAGGTCACTGCCACGTCCAGTGGTCATCGCCTCCCCCGCGCCATATAGGCAGGGCCGTCTGGCCGATTGCAGAGGGGAAAGCCACTCCTCTGAGTCTTATCTTTCTGGGAGCCTGGTTTAGGGCATTACCCCCTTCCAGTAGCGCTCATGCGCACTTGCCTGCTCTCCTCAAGGAGAGTCTGACTCATTCAAGTCACTGGTTCAGGGCCTTCACCCTTCCAGTAGCACTCATGTGCCCTTGCCTGCTCTCCTCTAGGAGAGTCTGACTCCTTCAAGTCGCCTGACATTTTAAAGGTGGACCCTCTAGTGTTATGCTCCTGATAAGCTTAAGGGAGGACCCATGCTGAAGCCTAATTCCACGGAGGCGGTCACTGCCATGTTAGTCATTGTCTGCACTGTTAACCTGGATAAGGGTTCTCCTGTGCAGCGGTCCCAGGCAAAGCGACCTCAAGGAGTATAGAGGACAAGTGTCACCGGCAGGGAGATAGGGGAGCACCTCATATAGTGACCGAGGCAAGTTGGGCAGTGCATGCAATGCACAAGCGTGAGTATGTGGCAGTAGGCTTGGCATGCAGACATTCTGGCACAGACAGCACAGGCCAAATCAATGGGGCACAGACAAAGCAGTCCAATCAATGGGGCACAGGCAAACAGGCCAATCAATTGGGCACAGACAAAGCAGGCCAATCAATGGGGCACAGGCAGAGCAGGCCAAGTCCTGGGCACAGACAAGTCAGGACCTTCAGAGATGTACAGGTGAGGAACTGTGCATTCCATTCTTCCGATAAAATGTACCTTTCGCTCTTCAGATAAGATGTACATAACACTTCATCAGATTAATAGCACATAACACACTTCTGTGTAACTGTAATTAACACTCTTCTATGTAACTGTACGTAACCTTCTTCTGTGTAACTATACATAACACTCTTCTGTGCAGCCGTACATAACATCCTTCTGTGTAAACATACAATACGTTCTTCTGTGTAACCGTACCTAACTCTCTTCTGTGTAACTGTACATAACACTCTTCTGTGTAACTGTACATAACACTCTTCCGGGTAACTGTAAGTACATTCTTCTGTGTATTTGTACATAACACTCTTCTGTGTAACAGTACATAACATTCTTCTGTGTAACTGTACATAGTATATTACTGTGTAACTGTGCATAGCCTTCTACAGTGTAACTGTACGTAGCATTCTCCTGTGTAACTGTACATAGTATATTACTGTGTAACTGTACACAGCCTTCTACTGTGTAACCGTAGATAGCATTCTTCTGTGTGACTGTAGATAGCATTCCATTGTGTAACTGTAGATAACGCACTTCAGCAAAATAGTGCCTGACACTCCGTAAATAGTGAACTTGCATATTGAGTACACCTGTAGTCAGGGAACTCACTGAGTTACCTCACAAGAGGTGCTCCATTGGTCAATATGATAAAACAGAGCGCTGCAAGCAATCATCTGAACAAACAAAAAGGGGGGGGGGGATGAGTATAAGTGGTAACACTGCCAGTTGTGCCTGTAACCCTTGAGGGGTTGTGCACAGCTCTATATAGCATGCCTGTGATCTATATCATCCACTATGGTTCCCAGTAGCCTAATCTGCCAGCCACATGGTGCACAAAGCCAGGACAGCCTGAGGGTGCAATGCGCCCAAGTCATAGTTGAGTCCCAGTCAAAGCTACAGGACATGTGCCTGCCATCGACGGAACTAATGCGGTAAGTCTGGTAACTGGCCGGCCCCGCCCCCACCTGACCATGTGGTCACGGGGAGTGGATGCTCAGGGCCGCCGCACTGAATGGGAAGGTAACCACCCACCCCACCCACGCCGCGGGAGCAGTTATACCACAAGCAGAAGTGTGGGTCAGGTGGGGGGTAGAAGCAGAGGATCTCGCTCGGCAGACAGAGCCGGTGGGCAGGATCCAACATGTGGGACCGCCGGAGTCTTACTCCGGGGTCCCGGTGGTCGGCAATGGAAAGCGGTCAGAGGACTGCTTTCCGGCAGCCGCAGAACGGACGAAAAGTGAAGGGGGCAAACCCACCCAGAAAAGGTAGAGGGAGGGAGGGAAAAAAGAGAAAAAAACGATCCCTAGACAGGGGAGCTCAAAGCAGGAAAATGCAGAAAAGTCATAAGAGAAAATACATCCCTACAGCAAAAAAGTAGGGACAGAAAAATACAATCTAAATAAATAAATCATAATAGCAGTAGGAAGGTAAACACATTCTAAACAAATAAATCCCTGCAGCCATAAGAAGGTAGATGCAGAAAAACAGAGTAAATAAATCAATCAAGCAATCACTACAGCACTATGCAGGTAGGTGTAGAAAATACAGTATATCTAAATAAATCAATCAATCACTAGAGCACTAAAAAGGTAGATGTAGAAAATACAGTATAGCTAAATAAATCAATCCCTACAGCACTAAGTAGGTAGATGCAAAAATACCATCTAAACAAATAAATCAATACAGTAATAAACATATAAATACAGTAAAATATCCACAACCACCCATATAAAACAGGAGGCAGTGGTACTCTGACCTGTACTGACTGCGGAGCAGCAAAGAAAAAGGAAATAGTTAGTTGGGAGAAGCCTTTTATAGATTCCTGATTTTTTTGTCTCTGGTGTTTTTCTCTCTATGTTAATGTGCTGCTGTGGAATTCTAGTAAAGAGAGACTTAAGCAACTATGAAGCCTCCTGTCATGCTATAAAATTTGGAACAGTGCATTGTAAGTTTTTTAAGTTTAAAGTTGGGCACTTATGATTGCATTGTTCATAACAATAGTTAATGTTTGAGGCTCTAGCACTTGAATATAACTTTCTACGAGATCACCCCGCACCAGATGGTGCATTTGGTAGGGAGCAATTGGCGCTGATGAATTATCTCTGGATTTTCTGTACCCTAGAAACAACAGTTTTGCATATTTATGAAGCCATTTAAATAAAAATTAGCTTCTTCATACATGATGAGTTGATGAATAAATTGTTTTCTCTGACTTATTCATTGCTCCTTCATGAAATTACCCAAAATTAATTAACCAAGACTTGGTTATAATATATACCAATAACAGAAAAACTGAACTACTATCAATTAAGTTATTCACCTGACAAATCCTACACTGAATTTTGGCCACCCTGGGCTATAGTAGTGTGTATTAGTGTCTGTCTGTCTGTCTGTCTATAAAAGATAACAATTACTTCAAGTGCTAAAGAATAGTTATAGTAAGGGGAACCTGAATTTTGTACATTTCAAACTCTTTTCACAAAATGTGAAGGTCATTAAAAAAAAAAAAAAAAATTCAATTGGTTTCTATAAAAGAAGCAAAAGGTTATTTTTAACATTTAGTGACTCTTTACACTTAGGTAACTGGAAGATATCCAGAAAGAGACATTAGAAGTTGCTGAGACATAGAAATAATCATTCAAAGTTCAGGCTAAAAACAGTGCTAAAACAGTGTTTAAAACTACATGGATTTAATAGGAATGATTTTGAAAATTAAATGTGCCAATTAGTAAATATATCAAAATATTCCAATAAGTTAAATAAACTGACACTGAAAAAAATGTTTTACCTGTATGGTCTACATAGAATTTAAGAATCAGTTTAGGCACCAGAACAACATCACCAACATTAAGTTGTTATGGTACCAGGACGGCCCCGGTGCTGGCTTTTGTAAGGGGTTAAACCATTCTTGAATTGCCCACCAAGCAGGGCAGGGAGTGGATATTGATCTGTCCACCCTCCATTTTTTAATTTCAAACTCCACACCCAATGCCCCATTATTTTAAAGGACCCGTCCCTATTGCTGGTCCGTTGACAGTTTTATATATTTAGTAAATATGCCCTCACCTGACACATTGCAAGTGGGGGCCTAGGAAGGTTTAAAACCTCATTTATAGTAATTTGGGAATCTAACTGAGCGCGCAGTGGGTTTTATTTATTTTATTTGTTTATTCATTTACTTTTTTTGAACGCAGCAGCTGGCTAGCAACTCGTGGGCAGCCACTACATGGATAACCCTTGCAGTTTAAAATAAAAACCAAACTGTTTTCTAATACTTGAAATTATCATTCACTTTCAAGAGGCCAGTAAACGCTAATTTGCAAGCATGCATCCTGCCAGATATCCAGAATTGTGTTAAAACCGATGTTTTGTAAATATTCCAAATCCTATACTTTGTGTAGGGTTGGGATTAGGGATGTGCATGGGCAAAAAATTCGGTTCGGTTCGGAAATTCATGTAAGTAAAAAAATGTGTCTGCTTCTGCAATTCGGACCAATGGCATTCAGTTCGGCACTTCAGAATATTGTTTCTTTTGAAACATAAACATTTGTGTGTTTTATTCTTAAAAAGCAATTGTTTTACATGGCATAGTGGACCACAGCGGCACGCAGACCACTTAATCTTAAAGAAGTGGTCTGGGTTTAGTTAATAATTAGTAGTGTTTGTTTAGTATATTTACAATTTACAAAATGATAATTCCCCTGCATAGATAGTGCAGCACACTATAATCCTACCCAGTGGCATACACAAGATCCATGGGGCCCCTCCCCCGCGCTTACTCTGCGCGGGCCAGTGCCACTACACATGGCGGCGGGCATCTCATCGTAGGGCTGCGACCCCTGTGTGCTGCCAGTGCATGCAGATACACTTAAAGGACCACTATAGGCACTCAGATCACTTCAGCTCAATGAAGTGGTCTGGGTGCCAGGTCCCTCTAGTTTTAACCCTGCACCTGAAAACATAGCAGTTTCAGAGAAACTGCTGTTTCACTGAGGGTTAATCCAGCCTCTAGTAGCTGTCTCACTGACAGCTGCTAGAGGCACTTCCGCGATTCCACTTGACGTCCATAGGAAAGCATTGAGTAATGCTTTCCTATGGGTGGTTTGAATGCGCGCATGCGCATTCGGAGCTGAGAGGCGGATCGGGGCGGAGAGATCCCCAGCTCCAAGGGAGCCCGGCGCTGGAAAAAGGTAAGTGCTGAAAGGGTTTTAACTACACACACACACACTCACAAACAGACGCATACACACTAACTAACAGACACACACATTTACTGACAGACACACATACACACAAAACATACACACTCACTGACACACACACTGACACACACACTCAATAACAGACACACAAAGACACTCAGTGAGACACACACAGTAACACTCACTAACACACTTACTGGCACTCACTAGCAGGCACACACAAACTAACACACACAGTAACACACTCACTGACACACACACTAAAACACATACACACTCACATTATTTTTTTTTTATTTAATCCCCCAGACTCCCTACCTTTCGGAGTGCTGTGGGGATTCCTGCTGTTCCAGGGGTCCAGTGGTGCTGCTGGGTGGCCGTGCTTACTGATGCCGGAGCCGGAATATGACGTCATATTCTGTCTCCGGCATCAGTGCGGTGCGCGCGAGGGAGCTGGGCAGAGAGCGCTCAGGGGAGAATGCTCCCTCGTGCGCCCGCCCAGCTGCCGGCAAACTGAAGCCACTGCCAGCCTCGGGGGGCCCTGAGCTGGCCAGCTCCTGGGCCCCCCAGGAGAAGAGGCTGGCAAAATGTGGCCACATTGGCATGCATACTGGGTCGCAGAGCGGCCGGGCCCCCTGGAGGCCCAAGCCCGGTCACAGTCATGACCCCTGCGACCCCGGTATGTACACCACTGATCCTACCCCTGTGACACCATCTTTGTGGAGAGTTTAGGAGCAGAGAGTGACCAGAGTGTGAGAGCCGAAAGTGACCGGAGTGTGAGAGCAGAGAGAAAGCCATTTGTGTGTGAACAAGCAAGTGAGAGTGTGTGAGAGAGAGCAAAGTGAGAGCAAGTGATGGCTGGTAGGGAGAACAGTGTAGGGTCCCACAGGGAGAGTTGTGGTGGTGGTGATAGTGGGGCAGTTGTGGAAGATTTGCCCAGGGAGGGTGGTGGGAGGGAAGGTAAGCGCTCTAAGGGCAGGAAGGGTGGTGGGAAGGAAGGTAGGCGTCCTACGGGCAGGGAGGGTGGTGGGAGGGAAGGTAGGCATCCTAAGGGCAGGGAGGGTGGTGGGAGGGAAGGTAGGCGTTCTAGGGGCAGGAAGAGTAGTGGGAGGGAAGGTAGGCTTTCTAGGTGCAAGGATTGGGAGGGTTTGCCCAGGCAGGGTCATGGGAGGGAAGGTAGGCGTTCTAGGGGCAGGGAAGAGTCTCCCAGGGAGGAGGAGACTTGTGGAGGATTTGCCCAGTAGAAAATGTAAGAAACCATGTGTAGTCAATGAAAAATAAATCCTTTTTCTCGGACCGGATCATCGGGGAAGAAGGCTGCCTGGGCCAGGATAAGGGACGCAGTGATTGCTGTTGGAGAGGCATGCAGGTCTATCGGCTGTGTGAAGCACAGGTAAATAATATATCACAAAATTATTTTTTATATAGTCACCTATAAAAATTTTGTTGAATTTGCAGGGGAATTATAAAAACTAGGCCAAAGTAGCTTTTCTGGATGAAGAGCTGAATAGAAAAGCACCCAATTTATTATTTGTTTCAAAAAACATTTATTAACTTATTACATTAACAGCAGACAATAATAAATGCAAATATTGTAATATGTAATTTATCTGTATACAGTATATAAGGTATATTAGCATATGTATTAGTTAAATAATAGTTTAATAGTCAAATGACATAAAATAGTAACTTCTTATCATGTAGCTAGCAATGGCTGAGTAACAGGCAACAGAGGGTTGTAGTTAATGGAATATATTCGAAGCTTGGACTTGTCACCAGTGGGGTACCTCAGGGATCTGTACTTGGACCCATTCTCTTTAATATTTTTATTAGTGATATTGCAGAAGGACTTGATGGTAAGGTATGTCTTTTTGCTGATGATACTAAGATATGTAACAGGGTTGATGTTCCAGGAGGGATAAGCCAAATGACAAATGATTTAGGTAAACTAGAAAAATGGTCAGAATTGTGGCAACTGACATTTAATGTGGATAAGTGCAAGATAATGCATCTTGGACGTAAAAACCCAAGGGCAGAGT